CAAGCAGGACCACAATGCAAAGCACTCGGCCAAGAACACTGATGCATCTCAATTTATACAAAACCAAACAAAAAAGTCAAATTTCAATTTTTTCACTGCTTTATTCTATATTGATTTCAGCAGGCTTTTGAAGCAATGCATGATGCCTTCGTGATCTCTCAGGCTGGTCTTGTAGAAGTTAAAAAGCTAAATGAAACAAACTACTACAGGCTCATTTAAAATGAATTTCCCCGAAAGGAAATGACAGTCTCCCCACGAACCGTCCACCATGACTCTGTCAGTGATAGTACTGCCCTCCTCGGCCTCCTCTACCCCATCGGCCTGCTCTCCATCCGTCTCCTCCGGAGCGCCAGCCGCCCACACCCCGATTCCCGCTGTATCCCGCTCCTCCTCCTCGGCCTCCTCCTTCAGCTCTCTTCTGCCACGCGGGCATCTCCGGCAGAGGAGCTTCAATCTCAGACGGCCGTCCGCCGCGGTCAGGAACCCGTCCCATCAGGATCTGAGGAGTCACCACACACAGAGCGTCACACACCAGCCACAACCTGACAGAAAAGCAAAGAAAGGTCCGATAACCTACGTACTCTGTTTATTGCACAGCTGGTTTTCTCTCGGCACGAGCCGCTGCTGGTCTTCACCATATAGCAGATGTCCTGTCGCGCGGCGAGCAGATGAGCCACACTCACCGAGGACCGCAGAGACAGAGAATATCGCTTCGGCTGATACGCTCTGGCCATCCTGTCAATTTTCACCTGAAAAATACATTTGCTTTTCTATCAAAACACTCAATGACATGTGCGTCTGTCTGACACTGATTTAAAGCAAGAGATGCAACGAATGCAAGCAGCTGACTGTAGGAACAAAATACGCTCTAGTTACCCGTCCACTATTATTAACATAGCAAAGTGTAAACCCAGGACCCTATTCTCTGAGATCAAGCAAACTTGTCAAACCACCATCTCCCTTTCCTAATGGTTCTTCTGGCCTCTGTGAAAACGTTGTCATTTTTTATACACAAATTGACAGTATCTATCAATCTTTTTCTTGCTTTGCTCCTCCAGAACCCTATGCCTCTCAGATACTCTATCCACTCTCTAACTTCACACTCACGAATACATCTGTGGTTGAACAGCTGATTATTAACTCCAACTACTCTTCCTGCTCAAAAACGTTCTGCCTTCTCTCATTATACCCATCACTCACATGATAAATAGATCCCTTATGACTGGTTATGTACCTACTGGACTGAAAGTAGCCGTGATCACCCCAGTACTAAAAAACCTGGACTTAATGACACAGTCCTGAGTAAATTCAGACCAATTTCCAACCTTCCCTTTGTGTCTAAGATCCTACAAAAGATGGTCTCCACTCAACTACAGACTCATTTGGACAAAAATAATCTGCATGAACCATTTCAGTCCGGATTTCGTCCTCTCCACAGTATAGAGACTCTTCTTCTAAGAGACTGCTCTTGCCACTGATTCTAGTGTCCTCAGCCTTCTGGTCCTCTTGGACCCGAGTGCAGCTTTTGATACTGTTTGCTATTCTGCACTCCTGTCTCGTTTGTCTGCGATTGGCATTACAGGAACTGTCCTGCAGTGGCTAAGCTCATATCTCTCAGACAGGCAGCGGTTCATTAGCATTGATAAACACAAATCTCGGTCCATCACTTTTTCCCGTGGAGTGCCTCAAGGATCTGTTCTTGGTCCACTTCTATTTTTAATCTACATGCTTCCTCTGGGTCAGATCATCTGGCGCCACGGTCTTAATTTACACTGTAGGATCTATGTCTCACAACAGACCCACCTACATGATAGAGACACACACATCAAACCCGCACATTCCATGGAGGGTTTTTGAGGTTCGTCTCCCCAGCCATCTGCAGTCGTAAAACTCATGCAGG